GCCAAATGTACAGTTTTAAGTCCTGAATTAAATTTGGCAGGAAGACTCGGGGCTGCAGGAACTTTATTATGCTAGAGCAGATACCCTTTGATACCTTGTTCTTTTGCAAGCTAGTGGATTGTGTCAGATTATTCCCTGTTTGTTTGCCACCGAGCAGTGGCATTATAACATTATTAACTAATTCAGGAGCTGACGTCTTCATCTGTTTGGTTAGGAAGGAGGGACATAAATGCCAGAGGATGCTGCATTCAGGCACCCAATATTGCTTTTTTAACTTGCCTATTGCAGTTGTGGAATAATTGCAGTTGTGCACAGACTGTTGATATTTCTGCATAAGATTATTGACACACATGAGAATTATGAATCTGTTTGGATTCCACTATGAATATTTGGCATAATAATGCTTATTTGCTAGACATTTATTGGAATAGTTGTTGTTTCTGTCTCAGATTAGCTCAAAGGGGAGCCATTTCCAAAGGTGGGGGAAGCACAAAATTGCCACCTGGGCTTTTAAGCTAGAGAAGCAGATCTTTGGTCAGGGAGAAACCTTTGCCTTCATTGACAGATTACAGTGGCGCCTCGCTAGACAGTTACCCCGCATGACAGTTTTTTCGCTAGACATTGACTTTTTGCGATCGCTTTAGTGATTCGCAAAACTGTGATTCCTATGGGGGAATTTCGCTGGACAATGTTTGGTTCCTGCTTCGCAAACCGGTTTCCGCTAGACAACAATTTTGACAGCTCCCTCCGGACTTGCAAGACAGGTGTTTTCGGAATCTAAGCTTCGCAAGACAGCTATTGAAACAGCTGATCGGCGGTTCGCAAAGTAGCTTTCCTATGGCCGATCTTCACTAGACAACGACGATTCTTCTCCATTGGAACACATTAAACAGGTTTCAATGCATTCCAATGGGGAAATACTTTTCGCTAGACAATGATTTCGCTAAACAGCGATTTCAGTGGAACGGATTATCATCGTCTACCGAGGCACCGCTGTACTTATTTCTTACACTTTTAAACATCTAGTAGCAAAAGTTCTTTGAGCAGCATGGAGTCTGTTAAAAATATAAAACACAATAGTATAAAAACAGCCATGAAAACAAGCACTAAGGATTGAACATTAGGCAAGGATTTTGTATAAATGAATTGTGTCTATAGACATCTCTGCTAAGAAAAGAGATCTTCAATAATAGTTGTATCACATTATTTTAAAATGGTCAGACATAAGTCACTAGAAATAAACCTGTAAAATGTAAAAGACTGGTTGATACCCTGGGATGATGCTAACCTTTTAAAAGTTCCCCATTTTTGTTACAGTCTAACTCCTACCTGCAGGCTGGATTTTTATTGTAAGCATATTAACATAACATATACTTTGAAAATTTTAGACAAAGTAGTTCAAGTATGAAATTGGTTAGATGAATATAAAATAATTTTATGGCCAAAATGCTCATTAAACTCAACAATTGGTCTAGCCTTCCATGATTTCAAAATCCTATAGAGAGCTGTATCCTGTTTTTTCAAGTGTGTCCTATAATCTTTTATTTGCTTTTCTGCTTTGGATAAAGATATTTCAGTACCATGGTGAGAAAACAGATAATATTTTATCTTTTTGCATAGCTTTAGAGCAGTTTTTCTTTTCTCTACTATGGAAGTTGCCACATTTGAGTGAAAATAAGAAAAAATCTCTAAACCAGAATTTCACCACTCCTTTCCAAAATATGGTTCGGTAATTTTTCTTTCATTTTTCATAGATGATGTGAAAATTTGTGTCTTTACAAGGGCTCTGATTTCTGTATTGCATTTTTCCAGCTTATATTTGGCTTGCCCTTGATGACTCAGTAGTTCTGTGCCAAAAAAAGAGAAAGCTTTCAATTTGGAGTATAGAGGTTGACATTTGTTACTAAGAATGTGGTGGTAGCAGTAGTGATTATAAATGTATGATTGAATATGAACGTTGATGAATATTATGCATGGAAGTTGAATTGGCTTCTTTTTGGGCCAACTCTGCATGTGCAAAGAATATGTTATCCTTAGGTGTCTACAACTCTCATCAGCCCTGGCCAGCATAGCCCATTGTCATGCACAATGCTGTAGTGTAACCATGGCTTGTTGGGTTGAAGCTCCCAAACTTTTTAATAGGACCGTATCATCACCTGCCACCACTACCCTCAACAGCTTCTCTGTTCTCTCTCAGTCTACCTCCAGTCCTCACAGTAGCTGGCAGACACATGGATTTTGCCAGAGACAGTATATTGTTGCAAGATTTCCCTGTTGTATTGTAAAATATTTGACAGTGGTTTCATGTTGAATGAGAAATGAGGTGCCATTAACTTTACAACTTTACAAAACACTTGCTCTTAATTTATTGATATTGATACAGATTTTTTTAAAAAAATTTTTTTTGACTCTTGTGCAGGACTCCTGGTTATGGGAACTGTCATGATGAGTACCAGCACTTCTAAATTTAACCACTGTGCTACTGGTTATGCATAATGGGAATCAGAGTCAGCCTATCCTTTAAGGGGATTTATGTGCTTAAAAGTTCTATAAGCCTCATTTTGACTTTGAGGGGTCTGAATGTTGTTCTAAAATTGTTCACTGGGAAAACTTTCATACAGTTTAAACCAAAGTAGGTCCATCAAGGACCTTGATAGACAATGTTCCTGACAAAATGACGAGAGCCAAAAAGACTCTTGGTGACTCTTGGCACAGCTCTACCTTCCATGCAGTTGGCTGTTCAGGTGTTTTGCAGGTCAATCTTTTTTAGTTCTTCAGCCAGTCTGCTGTAGGGAAAGAAACTATGGAAGGCTCTTCTTGGAAATAAAGGGGAAGAAGAGCATCGAATTAGTCCAGAAGTTAGAGATGGGCTTTCCATAGAAAGAGCCTGAACCTATTTAAGGTATCAACCATGCATGCATACAGGTGAAGGACAGAAGCTCAGTAGAATCACATACTTTGCACTAGGAATGTTTTGGGGTCATTCTCCAGCATCTTCCACGTAAAGCTGGGAAGTTTCCTGTCAGAAACTCTTGTCCATTGACCCATACCAAGGTTGGGCATAGTGTTTCCCTCCATATCTTGTTGGACTGCAGCTCCCATAATTCTTCAACATATGTAAGTTACATTGGCTAATGCTGATGGCAGTTTGAGTCCAGCAAAATCAGGAAGGTGACAGAGTTACCAATACCTAGCATAGACAGTACTTGGCTCGACCAGTGGTTTCATGTGAGACAACGTGATTAGGTGGCCAGCTGCAAAAGAGGACTGGGCTTCAGTCCATTTAATAGTCATATAGGAAGGGGACGTTCAAGAAAAATGATTACACACTGCATTTTACCGTGTATAAAATGACACTTTTTCCTAAAATAGAGGAAAAATTGAATGTTGTTTTATACACGGAAGGAAGTACTTACGCGCATGCACTCAGGCGCCTCTTGCTGCCACTGCCCAATTTCCTCTTCCAGAGCTCATGGCTTGTCCCCTCTGGTGGCCCTGAGGCAGCAGGAGGAGGCGGAGGCGAATGAGCAACACGCTTGGATGCCTCTTGCTGCTGCCTCCTCTGCCCACCCAATCACCATCTCCAGTGGGGCTCAGCTCACGTCGGCGCCTTGTCCTCTTTGATGGCGGAGGTGAAGGAGCATTCGCACATGCTCGGGCGCCTCTTGCTGCTGCCTTCCCCGCCCACCCGATCACCACCACCAGTGGGACTGACGGGCTCAGTTCACATAGCCACCTTGTCCCCTCTGGTGGTGGAGGCAGGAGGAGGCAGAGGGGGAGGCAAACAAGCACTCACGCATGCTCAGGCGCCTCTTCCTGCTGTCCACCGCCAGATCACCTCTTCCCACGATCTCCTTAGGGCAGGGGACAAGGCAGCGACGTGAGCTGGAGGTGAGACCCCGGCAGTCGCACTGGAGGAGGCAATTGGGTGGGCAGCGGAGACAGCAGGAGATGGAGGTGGAGGAGCAGGCACATTCCACTTGAGATGGAACAAAAACGTGCCCTGTGGAAGAAAAATGTTGGTAGAAGTGAGCAGCTCATTGTCATCTGATGAGTTGTATATTGGACCAACCAGATAGGTCCCATTCTTTGAATGATGTTTCCTACAGCATTCTCTTTCTGTTCTTACCAAGTGCAATTAAAAGTGGGTTCCTGGTTGGGGGTGGGGAGAGACATCTGTTGTGATTATGTCTCCGTTCTGTTACGTCCCCAGGATGAAAACTAATGGTAATTCAATATTATGTCCTGGATAAGTGGATTTCATTTAAAGATAAATAAATTCTTAGTCTTGTTTCAGTAGGAATTTATTCTTCTTTCACGCATAAGAAAGGGGGAACGAAGTGGGTTGGGGGGTACCCCTTTTGCTCAAGGCATGAGCCACATGTACATGAAATATATGTTGTCATCTAGTGTTGACTGTTGCTCTAGTATACGGGACAGCAACAGAACAATCAGACTGTTTTCCATTTCACATTTGTTGTTCCGTGCCGTCTAGTCAGAGCCAACTTGTAGTGACCCTAATAGGACTTTCAAGGTAACTAAGATATTTAAGGACTGTTTTTACCAGTTCCATTCCCCGACTCAGTTTTCATGGATGAGTGGGGATTCAAACCGTTTTCTCCAGAGTCTTAGTCTATCACTGTATCCACTACACCAAACTGGGAACTCTTTCTCTGGGAATTATTCCACCTTTAGTGAGTAGAAATACAGTGGGTGGGATCACGGGCTGATGTAGCTGATGTAACCGATTGTAGGTTCAGTAAAATGAGACAAAATAAAAATTGCTATTTCTCCTCCAAAATGCCTAAAAATATCTCAAATAACGGTTTGCATCCCATCCATCTAAGTTTTTTTTTTTTAAAAAGTAGGCCATATCTCATGAAATAAAGAAAATAATAAAACAGTAGGGTGGGGTAAAAGAATATTGATTTGCTTCTGAGGGGTTTCTTTTTATAAATGTGAAAAGTATGTTAACGTAAATATATTTTATTTGTCCACAGGCAAGACAATAGCATAGATTCTACTTCTTCACTAAAAGAAGACAACAAATTGGAAGGCTTGGACTCAAAACAAGGTAGGAACTGAGGAAGATCAAATATTTCTAATGTTAGGCAGGGGGTCTGAATAGTGATAATGTGGTGATGGAAGAATGGGGGGAGGGGGAAGTGCTTTGAGGTATCTTTGTAAATGTTACATGGATTGTCAGCATACCAATACAGAATAATATACCTAATGGGAAGAAATAAAATTACTTCAGAGGTATGGGGTTCGCAGACTGTTGTTAGCTATTAGACAAAACAAAAGTTTTGTTACCTACAATATAAAGAATTTAGAACCTAAGACTGGGTTTCATTTTTGTGATTAACTAAATATATAAAAACCTACATATCTGCAGAATGGCTAGAGCATTTTGTCTTAATCCTGGCAGTATAATGCTCCAGGCTTCCTAATTGTAGCTCCCTGATTTGCTTCTGTATAAGCTAGTATCCTCATCCCCTCCTTTACCTGATGCTAAACAAATGTCAGCAATGTGGGAAGGAACAGGAATTGCTTCTTTCCCGTAAGCAGGAAGGTTCATTCTTTTCCACAGTAGTGCCCCTGAACACATCCCTTTACTTCTTCTCTTGTGAGTGAAAGGCTGTCATGAATGAATGACTTCACCACTAAACAAAAAGGTAATGTCTGTACCTGAGGATATCAGTGATGAAGGCAAAATGTGTCTCCTGTGCCTGTCACTGTAGGAGGCAGCCCAATGAGGAGGCAGGTTTAGGATCAGACAGGAACACACCTTAACTATTAGCAGAGTAGAAAATGAATTGACTGCTGAGACTTGACAATCAGCTTGACACACAAGGAGCCCAGATTGAGATTCTTAGGGGTTTTTACTTCTTTATCTAGTGATCAGATCTGTATGCAGCTGGTCAGCCAGTATCTTATTCCTGGCAAAAATATCCCCAGTAATGCTCAGAGATTCTGAGAAAAGAATGTCCCACTGCTCCTTAAAGTAGGTAAAAGCATCCAATAAGGAGAATTGAATTTGATTAAACTGGAATCATAACTCAGCTGAGAGATTAGCAAGATGCTCTAACTTTGTGAAGAATACTTTAAATATTGCTTGTTGTACTCTCGGGAATGACCTCTGAATTGACATGTTTCCTCCAGACTTCCTCTCTTCCTTCTCTGGTATCAGAGGGGATTGATGATTTGTTGCAGATGATTGCTTCTTTGTCCTTTTTATGACTTTATCAGCCACCGTTTTCAGTGATGGCTTTGGGCAATGACAACAGTGCTAGTGTTAGTTTTTAAAGAGCTTTTGAGAATGTGCAGGCATAAATTGTAAAACTTAGTAACTGTTTGTTTCCCACACTGGAACCTGCGATGTCAAAGCTGGAAAGTACAAAAGCCAAAGAGTAAGCAAAAAGAGAGAGAGAGAGAGAGTGAAAAGTGGTTAGTAAAGAGAAATTAATATCTGGAAATGAATCTCACTATTTTAGTAGAAGGAATAAATAGAAGTTATCAAAATGAAAAAGATAATGAGAAAAATGCCATCAGAGACTTTTATTACTGTGTAAAATTATAGCTGCAAAAAGGGAAATGAAGCAGTTAGGCTAATTAAACATTTGTTAAGCCGGTAAGGCTGTGTGATTATTGTGCATCTTATTTTCATGGAGGTTTCCAACACCCAAAGAGAGAATCCAGGTTGATTGTACCTTTAAGGTTTAGGGCATTTCTGATTCTTAAGGATGAGGTAATGTTTTTAAATAGCTTGGTGTCATTCTTCAGGTCAGCACCTCTTTCACTTGGGTCACTTGACCTGTGGCAAATAAAGATGAGTGTGCTGGAATGCAACTTCTGAACTTTGAAGCAGGCTTATTCCAAACAGGATGTTTTCTCTCTTTGGAAAGATTCTGTGTAGCTGAACAATGTATTAAGTAAATATGGACTAGTGCCCTATAGCAAGGCAAAATAATTTTCATTCTTTAATCCTATTGATTCCTATTGCTTTTGATCTTTCACACACTTTGTTTCTGGCAAGTTAAAAGCACCGAGGCGGTGTTTGGAGTTCATGGCTGTCTTTCTGAAGGCAATCTGCGGAAAAGATTAAAAACTACACCTTACAGATTAAAGTTGGATATTTGATGTTGCTTTTTGGCAATTGCTTCTCAGAAGGCTGTAGGTGATAAAGGTATATTTCGCCCGGATGTCTAATGCAACCTTTTAGGGGCACCATTTTGTAGATCTGGTAAATGTACCTCAAAAATGGGAAATCCCATCCATTGCTAGGTAGCTCAGATTTTTCTGAGCTACTAACATTTTGTTTAAAAAGAAAAAGAACACAAACATTTGGCTCTTTCGTATGTAAACTTTTTAGAGACGGAGGCAGGCAACTGATTATCTATCCCTGGTGATACAGCTAACATCATGCTACTCATGTTAGAAGAACAATGAACAGATGTTTGAAGGCTGTTCATTGTTCTGCGACTGTGACCAACCCTCAGTATCAAGGCAGCCAGCCCAGCTAGCCTTCCACTCTATCCCTGCTGTTGAATGCCAGGTCTGTGTCCAATAAATCCCAGGTAGTTTACGACCTTATCCTGGAGGAGGATGCAGACCTGCCATGCATAACCGAGACGTCGATTAGCGGGGAGGGGGGGTCCTCCCTGGCTCTCATCTGTCCGCCCAGTTATGCTGTCCAGCACCAGGGTAGACTGGAGGGGCGGGGGGGGAGTAGCCATAGTATATAAATCCAGTTTACAGGTTACCAGATGCTCCTCGGTGGTAAGGCCGGGTCTAGAGACACTCCACATGTCGATTGGGGCCAGGGATGGAATTGGGATTTTGCTGTGTTATCGCGCTCCCTGTAACCCAGCGACTTCCCTTCTGGAGCTGGCCGACTTTGTCTCTGCGGCACTGTTGGGATCCCCAAGGCTTTTGGTCTTGGGTGATTTTAACGTGCATGTGGGGGCAAAGGTTACCGGACCAGCTCTTGAGTTCCTGGAAACCATGGCTTCCTTGAACATGTCCCAACATGTCAACGGCCCTACCCACGTGGGTGGCCATACGTTGGATCTGGTCTTTTCCACCACCTGGAGCGAGTGTGGTCTGGTGGTGACCGAGTGGGGGCAAAGGTTACCGGACCAGCTCTTGAGTTCCTGGAAACCATGGCTTCCTTGAACATGTCCCAACATGTCAACGGCCCTACCCACGTGGGTGGCCATACGTTGGATCTGGTCTTTTCCACCACCTGGAGCGAGTGTGGTCTGGTGGTGACCGACCTCGTGTCGCTCCCCTTGTCATGGTCAGATCACCATCTGGTAAAATGTAATGTTTCCGTGGCTCTCCCCCCTCGCAGGGAGCAGGGACCTATTTTCATGGTCCGCCCTCGAAGGCTACTGGATCCGGTTGGATTCCTGGATGCCATGAGAGGGGTCACAGCTGACCTGGCTAGCGTTCCTGTTGACGCTCTGGTTGACAGCTGGACCATGGCTGCCACCAGGGCCGTAGACATGATCGCACCTAAACACCCTCTCCGTCGCAGAATGCGCCTGGCGCCTTGGTTTAACCAGGAGCTCCGAGCTCTGAAGCGACATAGGAGAAGGCTAGAGTGTAAGTGGAGGAAGGACCCGACGGATTATAATTGGATAGCTGTCAGGGTCGCAACTAACCTTTACCTCTCTAAGGTAAAGGCTGCTTGTCGAACTTACTT